CAATCCTAAAATGCAAAGTGGAGTTTATTCGTGGGAGGTCAGGTTGTCAGACAAATATGACTGTGGTGAACATTTTGGGACATGAATGCGGTGTCACTGCTTTTGTTGATTTGCCTTTCACACGACTTGTCATTTTTCCACTTTGGAGTACTCTGACACATTGGAGGCAATTTGCCTTCAGTCAAGTGGCTGAAAACCTCTCCAGCTGAACAACTTCCTGCGTTTAGTCAAGCACCCCTCCACCCCCTGCGACTCAACCTCTCTCCAAACGGTGTAGCCGGCGTCAATGGCAACCTCCCAGTGGGCTGCCACTGTGCTGACGAGCTGCCTTTGTTCAGAGTATAATCCGCAAGGGGGCTGGCAAATGCAACGTGGAAAAGAGCAAATGGGATCGACTAATAAAGAAGCATTTGTGCGGAATTCAGATGCACGGTATTTATCGGGATCGCTAAAGTATGTCATGGAACCTAGCTTATAGCATAACCTAACGTGATCTCATTTTTTGTAGCCTAGCATAATGCTACATAACCTAACCTAGCATCTCCTGGCATCACCTAGCGTAATGCAACCTGACGTGACATACCAGGTAGCGTTCCATTATGAGCAGACGTGTTCAATAAAGCTTTTTTTTTTTTTTTTAAAGAGCGTGGTTTCGGTTTTCGAACAAATCAGTTTTCGAACAGCCTTCGGGAACGGATTATAGTCTAAAACCGAGGTATGACTGCATTTCACAATAAGTCGCTATCATAGATCGAGGACCAAGGTCCATTTTTTGTTCTATCCATGCATGCGTTATTCGTTATTCGTTATTCCGCAGCACACAAGAGCTTTAATGGCATGTGTCCTGGCACCCTGGTTGGGAATCACTGACATAAACTATTGCAAAGTAACATGATGAAAGTTAATGTATGGTAATGCTAAGATAATCTACTGTAACATTGTAATTCAGTGTTTTCTACGAATTGTCACCAAACATAATGTACAAAGTATCGTGACATAATTGAGCCTAATACAACCAAACTTAACGTAACACAACCAAATGTAACAAAATGCAATGTCAACTAAGCTAACCTACATCGAATGTAATTTGATGTGATCTCACCTAATGTGATTTAACCTGACATCATGTAACCTAACCTAACCAAAAATGTAATGTAACTTTACCTAATGCGACTTAAATGTAATGTAATGTAACGTTAGCTAACGCAACGTAAAGTAAAAAAATAATTTAATCTCATGTCATGTCACCCAAAAATAACTTTTACCAAATGTACCATAAGAAGATAATTCAGTGTAAACCAGTATGGTCATTCTCATTCAACATATTGTAAAATATGTCATGAAAAAAAACAAACGCTCTTGCATCTCATTGGTCGAGTTAGGTGTGTGATTCGTGCTTTGCGTGGAAGTGGTCCCTTGGTTCAAATCCCAGCATATGTTTCTAAGAAATCTACTTTTATCAGAGCATATGAATTAAAAACATGTGAACCCCAATGGCTCCATTTACATCCAGTCCAAAAAAAAAAAAAAAAAAACCAAGAAAGCCACAGATTGGATATATCCTCTCCGCCAGCGCCTCCCGTGTTCCCTGCAGGAGGCCCTGAGGGTTCCCTTTTAAGCCTTTATTATCACCTACAGCGCTGATTCAAAGGGCAGCCTCCATCTTGTTTATGAAGGGCCGCACGCAGAGTTGACACCTGACATCCCATTCAAGGAACGTGGGAAATCATCACGCCGTCATCGTCGTCATCAGGAGCCACAGGTGCTGCTTTGTTTTAACTTAAATAAACAGACGGAGTGAAACTGCATTTTCTGGCGTTTCCACTCACAAAGCATTCACATCTTGTCATTTCAAAGTAGGGTTCTGAATAGGGTTTCAAACAAGGGTTCGGATTTCAAAAGCGGGTTAAGGCTTCAAATGGAGGATTCAAGGCCATTGTCAGGGCTTCAAGTCTGTGTGTGATGAGCTGGTGGAGACCCGAAAAGTGGTGGTGAGCACCTTTATTTTTCTTCTTTCCTTCATGCTTTCCGTCCTCTTTTCTTTCACTCTGTCATGACTTCATTCCTTCAGCCCTTTCTTCTTTTTTTCCACGCTTCCTCCTTCATTTGTTCATTTGTTTGTTCAGTCCTTCCTCCTTTTATTCTTTCACTTTCTTTCGTTCCTTCAGTCCTTTCCCCTTTTCGTCCTTCCAGCCATCCTTTCCTTCCTCCTTCCTCCTTCCTTCTTTCCTTCCTTTTTGTCCTTCCGACATTTCCTCGTTCCTTCCTTCCCCCTTTATCCTTTCTTCTTTTCAAACTTCCTTCCGTAGTTTCTTCTCATACCTTCCTCCTTCCATCCGACCTTACCTTCTTCCCTTCCATCCTTCCGTCCTCCAGTCCCTTGTTTCCTTTCTAGGCTCATACACCCCTTTTTCCTTCCTGCGAATCTTAAATCTTTCATTCCTGCCCACCAGGCGTCGTTCCTCCCATATAATCTTCCTCCCTCCATCCTTTCTCCCATCCTTTCTCACTCCTTCCTGATTTTCCTTCTGTTTTCCTTCCTCCATTACTTCTTTGCTTTCTTCCTTCCTTTACTTCATATCATTGTTTTGTTCCTTCCTTCCTTTTCTACCTTCCAGAATTCCTTCTTCCATCCTTCCGTCGCAACTTCCTTATTTTTTTCCTCTTATCCTCTCATCCTTGATTCCTTCCTTCTTTCCATCCTTCCAACTTTCCTTCCTTCCTCCCCTCCTTCCTCCCGACTTCCCTTCTTTCCAACCTTCCCTCATTAAAAAAAAGGTGTACCTACTTTTAGCCCACCCCGTTGTGTACATTTCAATTTATCTTAACCATTTTAACCCATCTGACATTTTTTTTGTGTGTGTGTATACAGTCAAGAGTTCTATTTTTATTCACGATGGCTTTTTGGAGACAATGTGTCAATACTTGTCCTAATGGCTCTCACGCTCCTTTCTGTCTGCATTTGAATGAGCAGCGTGAGGCTGAATGGATGTTGGAGTGGGAGCCGCCATTCAGGCAATATCTGACCACCTGACCACCTGTCCTCCATGTCCTCTGGTCCTCCATGTCCTGGGAAAAGAATCCGGAGCCCGTTCACACTCATGCACTATCATAGACCCGCCCTGGGGGAGGTGGGGGGGGGGAGAAGACGCCCGCAGCCCACAAGGGGCCCTCCTCGTATCCGTGCCACCCCAGAATTTATACCACCTCATTTAATTGCATATCACCAAGTCACATGTAATGCTGTCAGTATGCCAACAGTAGAAAATGGGGGGTGTGGAATTATTGGGGACACTTTGAAAAAATGAAAAGACAAGAATATGTGGACAGGGAATGTGTGAATAAAAGTATTGGGACAGGAAGTGAAAAGACACAAATGTTTGGACAAACAGGAAGTGAAATGTGAATTTTGGACAAAAGTGTTTGGACACATGAGCAAAGAAAAGCGAAACAAGCATAATGTTTGGACAAAAGTATTTGGACAGATGCATGAAGTGAAAAGGGAATTTTAGACAAATGAGTCCGGACAAAATTATCGGGACATGTAAAGGAAGTGAAAATCTGAAGGATTCGAATGCCCAAAGGGAGCGTAAAGAACCGCCTATGGAGATTTGACCAACGTATTGGGACAAGAAGTGAAAAGAGAAGAAATGTGAGGTTTGGATAAAAGTATTGGGACGCGATGTAAAATTTCACACCTTACAAATTTTATTCTGAATTATTTTGGGAGTGGTTTTGATAAGTATGATCAGGAACCCTTCTTTTCCATCATCCCCATCCCTTCCCACCCAGTGGCACTAATCATCCCTCACACTCGGGGCCCCGAGGACGGCTTATATATATATAAACGGCGCCCGTTTTTGGGGGGCCTGTTTGATCCCCTCAAAATGAAAGTGTGTTAATTAAGCGACAAAAGACAAAGCCCATCTGGAAACCCTTGCATTAACCCCTTCCACTCTCATTAAGTCCTTAAGACTGAAAAGATTAATGGTGACGAACACTTGATTGCAATGCCTTCCTCCTTAACTACACGTAATTTACACATACATCTATACATACATATTAGTTTCCAGTGAATTATTTTGCAATTCATTGTTCACGATGCGGCTGCATGGTGGTCGACTGGTACGTCTGCCTCACAGCGCAGAGGTGCAGGGTTCGATTCCTGTGTGGAGTTTGCATTTTTTTCTCTGTGCCTACTTTGGTTTTCTCCAGGTACTCGGGTTTCTTCCCACATTCCAGAAACATGCGTGGCAGGCTGATGGAACACTCTAAATTGTCCCGAACTGTGATTGTGAGCGCAAAGGGTTGTTCGTCTATGTGTGCCCTGCGATTGGCTGGCGACCAGTTCAGTGTGTACCCCGCCTATATTTCATCTGGGAGTGACAAAGAAACAGCTTCAAGCAAGCCCTGCTTGACATCTTATTAATGAGCAAGTCGTTCTCGTTTCCTCATGAAGTTTTCTGACAGATCTAACGAACATTTCTAAGTTCTAAAAAGTTCAAAGATGTTGTAAAAGTTCACTCTAAGAGGAGATATCTAAAAAGAATTTATAGTCTCATTATGTCACAGATTTTCACCGATTGCTGGTGGATTCACAACCTATATCACCTCTCAAGAATTCACCGCATTGTTCCATGAAGATGTGTGAAATTGAATATATTGAAACCATCATCACACGTGAAAAAGTTTTATTTGGACCAAAACAATACAATATTGTGCGTGAAAAAACACACTGGAATACAAATGGGAATATTCAGAGGCTAAAAAAAACTCTTAAGGGCCAATCAAAAATGGTTGTACTATTTTAATAGGAACAATGATATCAAAGAAAACCCCCAACCTATAGAATAATACAAATATTTATATAAAAAGGCAATTTTAAAGAAAATTGGCAACTCTTTGGTGTGGAAATTCAACAGTAAGCATTTAAATAGCCGTGACCCACTTTGATTGACCGGCATCAGTCATCAGAGGCTCACTTCCCATGTGTGTGTGTGTGTGTGTGTGTGTGTGTGTGTGTGTGTGTGCGTGTGTGTTTAGCTGTTGAGTTTCTCGGTCTCTGCAGACATGACGGTGGTCAACTGGTCCTCATGGCCCTCCTCGGCCCCGGGAACCTGAAACAGACCATATAGATAAAAATAAATGATAAACAATTGGAAAGCATGAAGCACACTTTGAAAAAAAATATATCTCTCTCTCGCTCTCCCTCTCTCTCTCTTGATACATACTTACATACTTACATACAAACATACATACATACATACATACATACAGTACATACATATATACATATATGTAGTGATCAATATTATTACTGTTGGGTTGGGTTTTTGGGTTTTGGGTTGCTGTTTTTTTTTTCTTAACAGACTGTAATTTCTACTGTATATTGCATTTCAATATATACACACGTAATGGTAATCCAGAATTTTTTATGTCAATTCATACATCGATACTACGCATTACAAATATTTAATTGTGTAATTAAAATACATATATAATTTTCAATTCGAAACAAAACGTACAACTGAAAATATTAGATCAACTTAAAAATGTTACTGTATTTAAGTTTAAAAAAAAATAGTTTGTAATTATTTTACCAAATGAATGCAAACCATAAAATTTAATTAGGGCAGCACCGTGGCTCGTACTGCGTGGAGTTCAATTATACAACACGTTCTGCGAGGAGTGTCACACTATGGATTGTGGGTAACTATCATGACGTCATCTAATCTCCTATAAACGGCCTTTAATCCACCTACTGTGGTGAAGCAACGCCACCTGCTGGCTAATCGATGACAATGCTGGCAAGCACCTGCTTGATACGCTGCTACTTTCTTTCTTGTGCCTCACAAATATCTTGACTTGCCCTCGCTAGTAAATTTAGGACACTAGTGACCGTGTCTACTTGTAACAAATCTACACTACTAGTACCAATTTTTCAAATGTTAGGAGTAAACTCTTGTGCTATTGTACTTTTAGTACACTACTAGTTTTATAGGACTCTTTGAGTCATTTATAAAATATTTTATAATTTTAGTAGTTTTTTTACCACTATAATTTAACCAATCATCAAAAAAGAGTAGTTTATTTCCACTCACCTCCCAGTAGATACTGTCCTCAAAGCAAAGTGCGTCAGGTGGAGCACCAAAAACTGGCAACTTCATGATGAACCCTGGTACGAGAAGGAGGTATTATTATTGTTGTTGTCAATCGACATCAACGTGGATCAGTAGAATTGATTGATTCTTATTTCTGGTCACATCAAAGGTTTGATTTATCAGGGTTGGTCAAATGTTACTAGGCAGATTTCATAACTGTCCCAATAAAATGCCAGCCACGTGACTGTTGTACGACATGACTACAGTCGATGGTTGATGAGGAAACTTGAAAGGCTGCTAAACTTTAAGCATGTTTGAAACACTACTTTAAAAACCCGGCCGTTGCTTAAAACGCCTGTTTCAAGTATCAAGTACAACTTTATTGTCAAATGTGAAATTTCAAATTTCAAACTCTAACCCTATATTAAAAACCAAACGATGTCTTTAAACCCTAATTCGAAACCACGAGTGACGAGTGAAATGTGAGCCCACCGACGATGAGCCCCCCCAGCAGGGCCATGCCCAGGGTGACCGCCAAGGAGATGGCCTGCCGGATGCCCTGGAAGGACGCCTCCACGTCGCCAGTCGCCACGTCCGGGAACACGTCAGCCATTCTGCCAGAAGCACACGCACACGTGACCTCTTCGTCCAGTCAACTAGCGTCCCGCCACGTTGGAGCAAGAAAACCGTTTTGAGTTACCCATCTCCGTAAGTGTCCGTGGAGGCTACGGCGGCGGTGACGGCTCCCACGATGGCACCCAGAATGCCGGGCATGCCATGAAGGTTATGAACGCCGCACGTGTCCTGGATCTTCAGCTTCTCCTCCAAGATAGGCTGAAAACATTCCAAGCGCGCCTCAGCAATTTTCTGTACCTTTTCAAAATGACTGACAGGGCATGTTAGTACTATCTAGTGGACAGAAAAAATACTGCCTGTAATGGACTACAGTAATATCGAAAAAGAATGGTGACTTCAAGATTTATGCAATAAACACTAATCTCAACTTCAGATTCCACTTTGGAAGCCGACTTTGGAAACCTTAACCCCTTTATGAAACCTTGTTGAAAGACTATAATGTAAACCCTGTTTGAAACCCTACCGTACTTTGAATCACTAATATTATGTTGAAGACCATTTTGAAAAGCCTCACTGGTGTGAAACCAGTGTCCTTGTTTTAAACAATAACTCCCTGCCCCCTCTTAAAGCCCTAATTTGAAACCCTAACTCTTGCTTGGTCCAATAATTTTAAACCCTATCTTTGAAATACTCACCCTTGTTTGAAACTTGACCCCTGTCTTAAAACCCAAAACTGAAACTGTAACCTTGGCAGTTGAAACCTTAACCCTTTTTAGATATCCAACTGCTGAATTGAAATTCTAAATCTGGCTAGAAACCCTCATTTGAAACCTTACTCTTTGCTTGAAACCCTAATTTGAAACCCTCGCATTTGCTTGAAAGCCTAATTTCAAAACCCTAACCCTGTTTGAATTCCCAGTTTCAAATCCTAACTCGTTTTGAAAAACCTGAACCCTTGCTTTCCTTGGAAGCCCTAATTTCAAATCGTACACCTGACGAGACACCCTTATTTGAAACCCGAACTCTGGCTTGCAACTCTCATTTGTAACACAAACCCTTGCCTGCAAACTCTAATTTGATATGAATCTTGGCTTTAATTCATAACTCAAAATGTGAGGAACAGCTCCCAGTGGGACCTCGTAGAAACAAAATAATCAACTTTTGCATGCCATCAGATTGTGTGGGTGTACCCATATATTGTGTCCGGTGAGTGTTCTCCAAAAAATGCTCGCATTTACTCTCCTGAGAGAAGCTGACGTGTTTCTCACCGAGAGGAACTTGAATCCCAGCACGGAGATGATACCAGCTAGGAACCCCACGATCATGGAGCCAAATGGCGTGAGCATCATTTCCCCCGCCGTGCCCGCAGCCACGCCTCCGGCCAGGGCCGCATTTTGGATGTGGACCTCAGATAGGAGGAGAATAAAACAAACAAATAAACAAAACACATCAACACTTCAGTTTGTGTTTGACGCCATACACTTTTTTTGGAAACCGATAACCATGTCTTGAAATCCTTTTGCGAAGCCTTAATATAACCCTTTCATGCACCTGATAACACGATAAACTGTCCACTGTAGTAACCACTGTCCCTGAAAGGGTTAAAACCCAAAATTGGATCCCTAACCTATGCTTGAAACCCTAATTTGAACCCTAACCTAAGGTTCAAATACCAATTTAAAGCCCTAACTTGAATCCCTGCTTTACATCCTAACTTGAAATCACAATCTTAACATCTACTTGAATCCCTCACTGAATACCCTACCTCTGTCTTGAAACCCTAACTTGAATCCATACCCTTCACTTCAAACCCTAACTACACAACTGATTCTCAAAGTGCGCTACTAGTATCACGAGTGGTACTTGGGCTCACTCAAGTAGTACACGAAAGAATCACTGCCCAGGCACAGTTCAGTTGTATTTAACTTTTTAGTGCAATTTTACGACATGCATGCCCAGTGTTAATGTTCAAGCTGTGCATAATGTGACAGTCTTCTTCTTCTTCTTCTTCTCCTTTCGGCACGTCCCTTTTCAGGGGTCGCCACAGCGAGTCAGTAATTTCCATCCGCCCCTGTAAACCGTCCTACCAACTCGCATGGTCGTCTTGGCAAAAGTTTTACGCCTGACGCCATTCCTGACGCAACCCTCCCCATTTCTCCGGGCTTGGGACCGGCACTGGGGAACAGTGCACCCCCAGGGGAGGGCACTGCTCCCCAGCGGCTGGGTTCTGTGCATAATGTGACAGTGACTTGCAATAATGTTATTTTCATGCACATTTAGACCTATGAAGCTACTGTATTTTAATGCTGGTCATGGTCTCGGAGCGCTCAATATTTCGTTTAAGTGGTACTGAAGTAGATTACAACGTATTTCTGCCTTTCAGATGGGGAAACAAACACATGAATGATGCCATCATTAGATTAGCTCCGCCCATATATCACCCATCTACTATGTCACCTGCTTTATCAAAGTAGATCACGGAATGCTGATTCCTATCAGAGACAGCGCGGCGCCCCGCAACTATCCTTTTTTCGTTGCCGCTGACAACCCGTCGAGCTCGCGCGTAACGCCGATGATTTTTCTCACCATGTCCAGCTTTCCGTCATGCGCGGTGAGGGCAGACATGCCGTAAGTGGACAGTGTGCACGCGGCCAGTGAGTAATAAGTGTTCAGGGCCGTGCGGTGCTGGTCGTCACCGTGGGCTGTGATGGCCGAGTTGAAGCTGGGCCAGAACATCCACAGGAAGATAGTACCTGCGAGACAACAATCACAAAAATATCATATTGCCTGTGTTAGGCATTAGGTGGATTGATGGTGACGTGCTCCGACAGAGTGGTAGTTGAATTGTTAATTAATGAAATAGTCACTAAGTGTTAGAAAAGTCTAAAAAAAACCCCACAAACTTGATTGGGTGGGAACATTGAGTAGCGGCTTGCTCATGTCTTTGAACTCTGCTACTAACTAAACAGAACTTCAGCGTTAGCACGGATTAGCATTACCTCGCAATGTTGAGGCGGTTAGCTTCTGATAAACGGCCCATACTCAAATTTTGTGAAACGTTGAATTGTCAACGCGGAGTGCATTTGTGGGTGTAAATGTCTTCATTTGCTTCATGCACCACATCCACTGATCTACCACACTGATTGACAACCACGAGATTTGTTGCTCGTCCCTTTTTTTTTTAATAGTTGCGAGATGGCTGCTCGATATAGCACTTTCCAAAAGTGACTAAGCCAGTAACACTGAGTAGCCCTTGCTTCGCCCTAGCCCCGCCTTCAGTCCTCATGATAACAAAATCCCTCGGATACCGACTTATTTTAAGCAAAAGGCAACATGTGGATGTTAAGCGGACTGTAATTCATCTGTAAAATAATGCCACGTTGCTGTGAGTTTGTTATGCTAGGAACGAGGAGATTAGCCAGATAAGACAACAAGGCCAGCAATACGCTCCTGTTGTCTTTTGGATGAACAGAGAGCTAACAATGTTGCTGTTCTGTTCTCTAATGTCACCATCTTCACTTCACACTGCTAATTGTATGCTACATTAGCTTCGCAGCTAGATTTATTTTGAATGACCTTTCCTTATGTCAATGTTTTCACAAATTCAAGATTTTACCGATCATGGCGAAGAGGTCCGAGTGGTACACCGAGCTGTTCCGATGTTTGCTTTTGTTCAGGTTGGGTCGGTAAAGGACTCGGGCAACTATCAGGCCAAAGTAGGCCCCGAATGTGTGGATGGTCATGGAGCCGCCCGCATCCTTGGCCTGGGAAAGAAAGACTGGTTCAGGCAGTTTTTCTTCACAGAGCAGTCATTCTCAACTCTCATCTTTGGGTTGAGACCCAAAAGTGTTTTGATACAAATACTTACTGTATTTATGAATGTATTAAAACATGTTATTAGGAAAATAGACAAATTTTGGTAAAATAGAAAAATATTAAAAACCATTCCAAAATAAAACATCCTAACGGTATGCATTGAACTAATTTAATCGGAAACTCCTTTCAAACTAAACTCTGGAAACTACGCTTTGAAACCTTAATGCAGCCTAGAAACTCTAACTTGAAACCGTAAAGCCGGCTTGGAACTTGAATTTATAACATCCGCAATTTCTTAATAGTGGGTCGCGACCTTAGTTGAGAACCACGTAGTAAACAATAGAAGACGAACAGAACTCACCCCGAGAACGGAGAGCAGGATGAACTCATTCACCGCAAACAGTGTGACCTCAAACAGTGCCATCACCAGAAGCTGAATGGGGCTGGTTTTACCCAGAACTGCCCCAAAGGAGATCAACACGGACCCAGTGCAGAAATCGGCGTTGATCATGCTGCAAAAGATGGTGGGAAAAAATCCAGAGGTGGGGAAATAGCCAAGTACAAATACGCATCAAACTGATGAATAGTGCTGCAGCCTGTACTTGTATTTTTACAACAGTCTTTTCTTTTAACACAAGTATCTGTAAATTTGTTGAAGTAAAAACAAAACTTGGCACCAAAGCTTACCTCTCGACTCCGATGTGTATCTTTCCGCCGTGCATGCCGTGGAAGAATCCCTGCATCAGCGTGGCCCACTGCAGCGCGAAGGCGGCTATCAGGAAATTGAAGCCCACGCTGCTGAAGCCGTAGCGCTGCAGGAAGGTCATCAGGAAGCCGAAGCCAACGAAGATCATCACATGAACATCCTGGAAACCTGTAGAGACGCATTGGGTGTGAATTGATGCCGGCCAGTGTTGTACAGGGCTCACTTCTGTGCCCACTAACCTTTTACTTTCATCTCTATGCAGATGACATTGTTTCTAATGATGACTGCCTTGCATGTTTGAAAACCATTTTTAGGACTTTCGGAATCCTCATAGAAAGTTCGAGCAATTTTTTCAAACTGGATGTGGACCTAAAAAAAGGTGAGAATAAAAATCTAGAGACTTTGAAACTGTAATCCTTTTTAAAACCATAATACTGTTTCAAAGACCTAATTTCGAATATTTACTTTCTCTTAAAACTCTACCTTGAACTCCTAATATTGTTTTACAAACCTGTTTTGAAACCATAACTTGAAGCTCGAATTTAAATTCTTAAAAAATGGCCCGAGACCCTAGTTTCAAACCCTAACCTTTGCTTGAAACCCAAATCTGAACGCATACCCACATTTGACACACTAATCTAATCACCCCTGTTTGAAACCCTATTTTCAAATTATCCTAACCCTAACTTGAAACTGTTACTTCAATCATTACCTCGGCTTGAAACCCTATTTTGAAACCATAACCCTGACTTGGAACCCTAATTTGAAACCCTAACATGAACTTTTTACTGTGACTGAAATCATGACCATACAAAAATGGGGGAAAACATTTTTCCTACACCAACACAGTGAAACTGTATGTTTCAGCAAAACAATAATAAGGTGTCCAATGGCCACTGTTACCATGGCGACGGTTACTTGGCACAGACACACTTGTGAGTGGTGCCAGCCTCCCCCCTATTGGCCTCGTGGCCCCAAACCTCGCAGCAATATGAATGAAGAGACACCACTTAATAAAACTAAATTGCAAGGTTTGTATCCCACAAGGAAAAACAACGAGCCACATGCTGCTTCACCAAATCTCAGGATATTATGAGATTGTGAAGCAACCTGTTATCACCTTGACCTGTTTGAATTTACAAACACATGTACACAAATTTAAAAAAAAAAAAGCTGAATCATGAAGATGCCTTTCAGTTCGCGTGATGATGGCGTCTTATCTGCGGTGATGCAATCACGCCGATCATGTGACCACAGCGAGCAACATCTGACAGCTAGTAAAATGTAAAAAAAACCAGGAAGGCGCCGCTGTGGCAACACTCGATCTTATCTGCTATGTGAGGGCAGTTGCCTCGAAAAAGTCAGAGATTGCATATTGCTAGTCAAAACACTATCAAATGACATCCTGGAAAAGAAGCACGGATAAAGGGAAGCGACAAAGCATGGCTACAGACAACTGTACACATTAAAAAAAAAAAAAATCACAAATTCGGCTCTGCTCGTCTCATTGTTAATGCTAAAGTAGAAATGATTGTACTTCTACCTGACTATGTCTCCAAATTCTTTGCCAAACTTTGAGTATTCAGTAGTCGCTTAGCAAGAAATCTCTGTGGGAGCGTTTGAAAAAGCCTTCTTAAAAAAGCCTTATTAAAACCTAACCGTATTACCCGCAAGCGATAGGACCTCAATGCGTTACGTGCAAAGAGCGGATTTCACTCTTAATGCGACTCTATCCGGTAAAAAGTGTTACACGGCAAATGCTCATTACAGCCACCCACCATTTTCCGGAACGTATACTGTATCCCTCACAATATATTTACAGTGGTGCCTTGAGATACAACTTTAATTCATTCCGTGGCTTTGTAACTCAAAGCACTTGTACTCTAATCATCTTTTCCCATTTAAATGAATGGAAATGTCATTAATACGTTCCATTGTTTGTTTGTTTGTTCGTTCCGGCTTCCCACCAAGAAAATCAAAATAGATTCATTGCAACGTCTTGTTTAATTTGAAAAAAATAGCGCTTTATAAAATTTACTTTACAAAAACACATCTTAAAAGCATAATTACTGTTGATTCAAGGTAAAGAATTAAAGAATTTGTACATTACAATTAATATTGTATATTTGCAGTCATACAGAAAATGAACAAGAGTCACTCCTGCTCTCGATGACTTCATAAGCTGCGATAATAGTTATTTTTCACACAGGATAAAGAATGCAGTCTACCCCTCCTCAATTGCGGGTTTCAGGTATCTGGTCTAGTTTTTTATTTTCTAATCGATTTTTTTTTTAATACATTTTATAAATCTACTTTGTTCTTGCTTATATTTTGTGCAATTCTACTGCTGACCACTATATAGCAGCACATTTATTTAATTGAAGAGGTTGTAAATTTTAAAATAACGGAAACAAGAAGTATTTTAGCACAGCCTTTTTTTTGTTGAAAATGATTAAATGGTATCCTCTGTAGTCCTGCTTTTCATGCCTACAGAAACTGACACCAGTATCATTTTATAATTAAATTTATAAAATGTTTGTATTATCTATTGCTCTTTTCTCAATATATTTTTAAACTTGTTTGTATTATTTTAAAATTGAATTAAAAGACCTTTCAAAATATTTTAATGCTGGACTCTTTTTTTACACGGTGATTCTGTTTCAGAACTTTTGCACTGTTTGTGTATATGCGCCCTGTGCAACGTCATGTGATGAGGTTGAAGGTTGAGTAAGTTGGGTTAGCAAGTTAGAACGCCGCAGATGAAGACTGCGATAAGATGAAAGTGTTTGTCTCTCGACATTCTCATCATTCCCGCCGGCAGCAAAGTCTGATAAGCGACAAGCACTCACTCGTCACCTTTGACCGACACGTTCGGCTGTTTTATAATTGAAGTGGTGGACAGGGCCACATTCATTCGCTTCCAGTTTTAGGCCACGCCCCTTCCAAAAACAAAAGGCTGCACTTTTGACCCATTCTTAACACAACTGTACTCAAGATCATTCAATCATTTGCTTTCTGCATGTTTCAGCCTTATTTATTTCAAATGTCGAACTGGTTGGACTTCATCTTTATCAACAGTGTCTCATTTATCACAGTCAGGCTCAAATCTCCGTTGCAGTTTGGAGGGTATTGCTGCTTTCCCTTACAAATGTGGATCCTGTTTATCATTACAATTTCTCTTTTCAAAATTCAACTCAAACAATGTAAAAGAATGAACATAACAATTGATCGATGATCTTGTTTGTATTACAGGAGTGAGGAAATAAGGCTTTGATGGAGCAATGGACTGGAAAACATACGATTCCACTTCGAGAGACCAGAGAGTTGCTCGGTTAGCATTTTCCACAAAAGAATAACAATGTCATATGACATACAGTACATGTGATTGTTTGAATAAGGCGATTTTTGTTTTTTTACCAATGTCTTTTTAAAGCCACAAAGCGCACAAGTTTTAAAACAAGAAAAAAACATTGTGAGGTATTTTTTAAATCAGAAAAATAACCCGGTATAGTATTATGCTCAATGAAAACCTCCAGTAATGGCATAAATAAATGAAATGAAAAGAATAGAACAGTTCGTGCCACTTTTCTTTCTTCATCTCAATGAACATTGTGCTGCACCTTCTGGTATGCATGCCTGGGCCGCATGGAGGTAGCATAATACAAGTATACGTAAATAGGGAACATGGAGACGGTCACTGCTCCTCTGTAAGATGCAGTAATATTAGTTGTTCTTCACAGAGGATAATGAATATATGCATCTGAGTATTATTATAGATGATGTTTAAATATCCCTTATTTAAAGGGTTATAACACCTTTGCTATTCATTAGCTAATCAGTTTTTTTCCGTGTTGTTTGTCACCATCAAGCTAAGTTGACTTGAGGCAAAGTCGCATGGTTGTTTTAAATACACGTGGTGTAATTCTCTCTTTGGTTTAGTGTGACAGTCATCTTGGGAGTGGCAATAAACAACTTGAAGCCTGTTTAGAAAATAGTTTTTCATGATATGTCAACCACACCCACTGGACTGTGACGGTGTGGATGTGGGTGTGAATGGTCATGTGTCCTGCGACTGACTGGCAACCAGTTCATGGTGTAGCGTGCCCTCCGCCCAAAGTCAGTTGGGATAGGCTCCAGTCACTCCCCGTGACCCTGTTCCGGATAAGCGGTGTTGAAAATGGATGGATGGATGGGTGTATGCTAACGTGCTGCTTGTTGTAAAGTGAGTTCATGCAAATGGGAAGCGCCATAGATGGGCTAACAAAAATGAGCATCTGGGTAATGTCAACTTCCAAATTACTTCAATACACACAGAGCAGCAACACACACGAACAACAATATGACAACGACATGACTTTTTTTACGACGGACCCATCTAAGGGATTATTCGAGGAGAAGAAGTGCGGTGACTCACTGGGATAGCGGTAGTAGAAGTCGTTATCGTAGTCTGAGTGGTTGTGGCTGTGCCATTTCTTGGCATCCACCTCGTGGTCATACTGCACCAGCACGCCAAAGAGGATGATGAGGATGATCTGCAAGATGAAGCAGACAATTGGCAGCTTCAGCCGCATGTTGGTGGAGGCGTCCGTCATGATTGCTGTGTCCCTCCTGGATGAAAGGACCCGTTGGAAAAATGTGGACCCGCTGGGTGTCACGCAAACACACAACTGTGCCTGCAGCCAGAACTGCCAAACTGAAATGCGTGTGAGAGTGGGGGGGGAAAAAAATACTTTTGCAGATGAGTGAGCTTCTCTTTCATGTGCGTTTTTAACTACACGCCTCCTTAGGCAAGTGGGCGGGAGACCCTGTTTGCCCCGCCTCTGAGAAACCTCCAGGTAAAGTTTAATTTGGAAGCTCCGACAGAGGACGTAATAAAGTACTTTAATCACTAACGTTACATAAGACATTCTTCATGTTTATTGATAGGATTTTATGTGGATTATTTGGTTGAGGTGGTCTTTAAAAGAATCTTAGACCCCCGCATACTCGCCGTTCAGCACTTGTGGATTTGTGTGTTCGTGTTTCCATTTTAAAAAAAATATTTTTGTGTTGTTTTGTTTTTTAGGTCTGTTTTGTTTTCCATCCACCTAATGACCGAAAGGGCTTCAAAAAGGACATCTTGAACATATCAAAAGTAGTCCTTAACAGTCTTGTGCTGGCTGTCTTCAAAAAGGCCTTTATAAACCTTCCAATTGATGCGAGTGTCCCCAAAAAGTCTTTATAAAATCACAAATTAGATATACAAACTCTTAAGTTGGACCAAAAAAAGGTTTACATTTATTCTTCTTACTTTCGTCATCTTCCACTGTCAACTGCTTCAAATAAAAGGACAGACTTATTCGGCTAACAAGCTAAAAGTGCTAACTGAGAAATGTGAGCACAAAAAAAAAAAAAAAACGCAGACAAAAATCATGAAAATTTTTCATACTGTACATCCATACGTGTCTCTTTTTTTTTCCCCCCCAGAGCAGCACTTCGATAAGAAATGTCAGTCACACCAATATCGGCCTCCTCATCTCCCCCCACAGGCTAAAGCAGGAATGTTGTTATGATTTGTAGGAATGTCAACTATTACCTGGAGAGAGGAAAAACATGAGGCAAAGTCTCCAAGAGCTCGCCTCAAGGTGCAGATGTGCTTCGCACTCTAGTGGGTGACGAGCAAGCCACATTCAAAGTGACTGAAAGGAATCGCTTTGATTGACCATGATTGAAGTCAGCTGTGACCATATCCACCAGCGGCGCAGCAGTCCGTCGCAGATCCTCTTAAAGTCTTGACTATCTACAAAAAGGTAGCAAAATATGCGCAAGGTAATATTTATACATTTGATGTCCCCTTCCACAAAAAAATGTTTTCCATTTCGAAAAAGTGGCTTGAAAAATATCTTTAAAATGACCACATTCAATTGTAGAGGCCTCAAAAATGTCTTGAAAATTCTTACATTTCATGTGTGTCTTTAAAAAATGTTTAATTTGATCATAGCGTCTTTAATAGGTCTTAAGTCTAACATGTGAATGAAAAGGCCTTGAAAAACTCCCAAAAAGTCAAAATACAGTACAGCCTCTACCACACTGAGGGCTGAACATTTGCGACTCTTGGCAAGCTAGCGAAGGCTAGCAAAGGCGCATTCACGTCAGTTCTTTAAGGCGCCTCCCTGATGAGCTGGTTCAGCTAATCAGAGGCCAGAAGAAAGCCATAGAAGGAAAACGCACACTCCTTTGAATACCATAAAGCAGAATTACCTGATTGTTTTTTTTTTCAATGCTAATCTAGTTACTGACAAGTTTGGTGTATAGTGAGTAAACTGGTCACACATAGCTGACACCTCGTGTTGGTCTTGTGATGATACACACGTGCACACACGCACATTCTCACACGATGCATACCACTCACTCGCGCCACATGACTGATCAAACCTGTAGATAACGCCAAGGATTTGCCCTTGATATAATTGTTCACAGTCGCTCTATGTACAGTTTTATCACGGTGACATATAGCGGATAATTGCTAACCCTGTACATAATTGCAGTTAATTGGGGATACTTATTTTATTGTAGTCACTATTTATGGTTCTCAAGTGAATTGCTACATATAATAGTTGTTGAAATAAAGTTGCCAAAATACTACGGACTTTCGTTTAGGTTTGATATGAGCTGTCATTCAGTCGATTTTAGTTTAGCAAATTCTATGGCAAAAAATCTTCCAAAAAGAGCCTTCAAGTTGTTTTACGCTACTCCCAATTGGAGTATACTGCCAAATTAAACATCAAAATACATGTCGTCCATTTAAAACAACCTCGTAGCTTTGCTTCAGATAATTTAGCTTAATGCTAACAAACAAAGTAAATTTCCACTGACAGGCTAGCATCAATGTCACAGTGTCTCGTTTAGGTTTGAGATGAGCTGTCATTCAGTCGATTTTAGTTTAGCAAATTCTATGGCAAAAAATCTTCCAAAAAGAGCCTTCAAGTTGTTTTACGCTACTCCCAATTGGAGTATACTGCCAAATTAAACATCAAAATACATGTCGTCCATTTAAAACAACCTCGTAGCTTTGCCTCAGATAATTTAGCTTAATGCTAACAAACAAAATAAATTTCCACTGACAGTCTAGCATCAATATCACAGTGTTCTATTGCTTTAATCATATTTAAACACACACCTTCAACACATGTAGACAAAAAAAATGTAACGATACTCATATCTGTGTATTATTTATCATCTGCGAAAAACAGCTGTCATAGTAAGATGCAGTAAGATTATGACTAATCTTATTGTAGTTTAGTGTTGTGACCGTCTCCATGCCCAATCATAATGACAATTCATGATGCAGAAACTGTTTGATTCTTTCCATTCGATTGAATTATTTTCTGGACTACTTTTTGATCCATAGATTAAGTTTACATGCTGTACGTAGTGTGTATTGAGTGTGTTATTCATGCAACATCCTAAAATTGAAGTGCGTCGACTGCTTGTGGAGTACAAGGGATAATCAACGCATCAGTACCAGAGGGGCCGGCTGCAGGTCCTCTGTCCTGATAAGACAATCTGTTCATCAGAGGTTTCAATGGCACCAGATGATGCAAAAAAAAAAAAAAAATGAAAAAAGATAAATGCAGGTCCAAACCTGCTGGGCATGTTCCTGTAAAAGAACACAAAACAACGCAAGGCTTTCATGGAGCTTTGCACACACACACACACACACACACACACACACACACACACACACACACACACACACACACACACACACACACACACTTACGTGCATACTTATGGATAGTAGCACTGTGGATATGTGTGTGCTTTGCATGCATTGGGCAGTACAGACAAAAAAAAATGACCGTAGAAAAAATGTAACATTTAATTATTTTACTCATTTATTATTTTTTGCGGTCACATTTAAATGTTTACTTTGTGCCTGTGAACCGCTTGTATTTTATAATTAAATGTCTTGATTTATTTACAGGGGCGGCACGGTGGACAACAGGTTTGCACGTCCGCCACACAGTGCAGAGGTGCAGGGTTCGATTCCAGCCTTCCTGTGTGGAGTTTGCATGTTCTCCCCAGCGTGGGTTTTCTCCCGGTACTCCGGTTTCCTCCCACGTTCCAAAAATATGCAGGGCAGGTTAAATTGCCCCTAGGTGTGGTTGTGAGCGCAAATGGTTGTTTTTCTATGGGTGCCCTGCGATTGGCTGGCAACCAGTTCAGGGTGTCCCCTGCCGACTGCCCGAAGACAGCTGGGATAGACTCCGGCACTCACCACCCTTGTGAGGATAAGTGGATCAGAAAATGGATGGATGGTTAGATATATTTATTTCCACTCGTATAAAAAATACAAATATTGAGTTTTAAGTATTTTATCACTAATACTGTTGTTTCTGTTGTACACTTATTTAGTTTTGAATGACATCATTTTTCAATTCCTTCCAACATATTATTCCATCATGATCAAATAGATTTACTTACTGTACATTTGATTAAAAATCCCCCCTCAAAAAAACCTTGTACATCATATCATCTTGATAACAAATCTTTAACTTTCGTAATATCTTTATGTGCTCCACCTTTTTTTAAAGACAATTTGTGAGGAATTGATGGGAGAAAAATAAGTGCTTCCGTCGAATGAGGGTCCACGTCGCAGCACCATATAGACCTCAAGCGTGTGTGCGTGCATGTGTTCATGCGTGTGTCAGGTATGTCAAGACAAGCAGAGGATCTGCATGTCGCTGCAGGAAAGCGTGCACAGTATAACATTGAGACAGGTGAGCGCCCTCAAGCTTTCAGCAGCACGGTGACAGCAAAATGTTTCTACTAGCCTCCGAGAAAAGAATGTTTGACTTATTGGCCGTCAGACTTCTACATATTTCATACGCTTGTCACGCGTTTCATCATTCGAGTCATGCACCGCTTCAGTGCGCCATCCGGCAGGACGGGACCAGGCGTCGCCCTATCGGCCCCGCTCATCTTGCCCGAGTGGCCCCTCGAGCCACGACGTGTCACAGCAGCGCCACTGTGGCCTCTTGTTGAACTGAAAGTATAGTTTGAGATAATGTTTCCCAACCTGTATTGAGCTAAGGCACGCACTGTACCGTACTCACAAAAAAATGTATAAGATTGGACTCAGTTCCAGGATCACTATAACCCTTCTCAAAACTTTTGAATTGTTGTTCAATGTCTCAATACTCTGCGTGACTTGATGTTCTCAAACAAGAAGTTGAACAGCAAAATTCACAGGAGGTGAAAATTTTCGAGGATGTCCGTTTCTATGCCTTTCTGTGACTCCTCCAGTCTCTGCATATCTGTTGCAACCTGTTTGGTTTTTGTTAGTTGTCAGTTTGGTCTCATGATGTCTAAAGGTGAGCAGTATAATCAGTGGCTGTTTCGGGTATGTGCGATATGTGAGGCCTCACAGGGCAGCATTTCGAGCCACGCTGTAAAAGATTCATTAATTGTTTTTCTGTCTGCAATGTGAAATTGCAATCATTGACATTTGTGTTGGGAATTTGTACCCTCTTCAGGAGACACGAGGGGGTTTCAAGGATTTTGCTAATTAAAGTTGAAGTGAGAGGTGATCAATGTCACAGACTATCAGCAGGTTGCAACAGAGAGACTAGAAGAGTCACAGAGAGGTAAAGAACGACTGACATTTTAATTATATCTGTGGCATTTATTTCATCCAGAATAAAAAAAACAAAACAAACAAAAACAGAAGCTTTTCTTCAAAGTGTAGTGTGTTAGACGGGGTGGTGCGCACTTCCAACTCGCGATGACAAATCTGCTACATGGGGTATATTTCTGTTTAAATTGTGCTATGGTCTTCAAAGGGATTTGAATAATATTCACAAGTCTCAGGAAAACTCCATGCTCCAGGATTTACCGCCACATTCAGAATTCAGCGAGTCACTCTTCATTGGTAATTGGTGGTGATGTGGAATTTGGGCCTGTTTCATTTAACACAAAGATATTTTTTTCTGGCGTCTGAAGGGTTGCAAAGGTTCATCGGAACTTCTGCCTCCGAGTGGGAAAGCATTCAATTGTTCTGCTTGTCACTATACATCATTGGGATAGATAATTGTGGTACTTTTTTATTGGATGGATGGATAGATAGCTAGGTAGCTAGATAGCTATCTATGTAGCTATCTAGCGAGCTAACTAGCTAGCTACATAGCTAGCTAGCAAGCTAGCTAGCTAGCTAGATAGATAGATAGATAGATAGATAGATAGATAGATAGATAGATAGATAGATAGAGTGCAGGAGGATGTTTTCGTATGAATACTAATTGGAGGCCAATGAAGAGGTTCATTGATAAAGAGAACAATGGTTAGGCTACACAAAAAAAAGACTCCTTTATTTCCTCTTGTGTCCACCTCAGATGTGTGTGTGTGTGTGTGTGTGTGTGTGTGTGTGTGTGTGTGTGTGTGTGTGTGTGTGTGTGTGTGTGTGTGTGTATATATACACACAATGCATTTGTCACAATGTGGTCGTTGTGCCACTGAGCCAACACAGCTTCCTCTCACCGAGCGACCATAAAGATGCGTGAATGCCAGCTTCAGTGCTGGCTGCCAAGGGCTGGAA